CAGTACCCAGATATACATGTAGGCCAGACATGTAAGATTTAAAAATAAAATATTTTTTTAAAACAGAAGGGGGAAAAAGCAACTAGACTTTTTGTTGGCAACCTGCACATCAGCCTTCCTTTGAGTAATTTCTCTTCAGACATTGACCTGGTTAAAACTACCCATTAGGCCATTAGATTTCTGCCCACTCCCATTTGACACAAACACATAAGAGTGCTAAGTGATTGATCTGTTTCTTGACTGAACCTTAGAGGCAATCATTCTTCTTGGGAAACGAGGCCTTTCTCTTCCAAGTGTGGACTCTGCCTATGTCAGGCTAAAGAACTGATCACTTTATTATTGTCCTTTAATAATGTGGCCCAACAGTCTGTATAAACAGAGACCCATTTAGAAAACAATGGAACCTTGCAATTGGATATATCCATCAATGTCCTTCTGTTGAGAAATACTCACTTAAGTAAGAAGGCCAAGATAAAATTAGTAGTGGACCAACCACCTCCTTCTAAAGATTAAATTTTCCTTATAGTAAACTATCTGATTACCTCACAGTTGTAGCTTAAGCAAAACAAAATAAAGAAGTAACCAACTGTACTCTACACATAATTAAATTTATATAGCCTTAACTCTGTATGCAGTTTATTGAATATCACTAAGCCAGGTATAACAAAAATATGAAGTAGCTTCAGCATGTGCAGTTACTCCTTACAGGCTCCTACATGTTTTCCTCCCACCTCCTACTGTTGACATAGGAAAAACAAAACAATCAAGTCAAAACCTAATACTGTTTTGTGTGCATTCCACTTTTTGTAGATGGAATCAGTTGATAGCTTTACTCTTACGTTATACTTTATTTGGTTACTATCAAGCAAGAAGTGAATAGGTAGTAACTGTGGAATATACTGCATGATACAGTTTGTTGCCAAAATGCCACAGAACAGGACAGCAGAGACTGCAGTGCAGACTGCGGGCACCGGGTGCACTGTCAGAGAGCAGGATAGCAGAGACTGCAGTGCAGACTGCGGGCACCAGGTGCACTGCCGGAGAGCAGGATAGCAGAGACTGCAGTGCAGACTGCGGGCACCGGGTGCACTGTCAGAGAGCAGGACAGCAGAGACTGCAGTGCAGACTGCGGGCACCAGGTGCACTGTCAGAGAGCAGGACAGCAGAGACTGCAGTGCAGACTGCGGGCACCAGGTGCACTGCCGGAGAGCAGGACAGCAGAGACTGCAGTGCAGACTGCGGGCACCGTGCCGGAGAGCAGGACAGCAGAGACTGCAGTGCAGACTGCGGGCACCGGGTGCACTGCCTGAGAGCAGGACAGCAGAGACTGCAGTGCAGACTGCGGGCACCGGGTGCACTGTCGGAGAGCAGGACAGCAGAGACTGCAGTGCAGACTGCGGGCACCGGGTGCACTGTCGGAGAGCAGGACAGCAGAGACTGCAGTGCAGACTGCGGGCACCGGGTGCACTGCCGGAGAGCAGGACAGCAGAGACTGCAGTGCAGACTGCGGGCACCGGGTGCACTGCCTGAGAGCAGGACAGCAGAGACTGCAGTGCAGACTGCGGGCACCGGGTGCACTGCCGGAGAGCAGGACAGCAGAGACTGCAGTGCAGACTGCGGGCACCGGGTGCACTGTCAGAGAGCAGGACAGCAGAGACTGCAGTGCAGACTGCGGGCACCAGGTGCACTGCCGGAGAACTAATGAATCTGCATTCTGGCATTTGCTCAAAGATTTAATGTACAGGATTTGGAGCAATGGCTCGGTGGTTAAAAGAACTTATGCTCTCCCAGAGCACCTGGGGTTAGTTCCCCATACCCATTTCAGGCAGCTCATACCTTCATAGCATCTTATAACTGTAGCTTCAGAGGATTTGATGCTGTTTTCTATCCTCTTTGGGTACCTGCATGTGCATTTTTACACAAACATACACACATACATAAACACACACAAAAATACAATGAAATAAATTATACACTTAAATATATATAATTCATATATATGAAATTATCCCATGTTAAATACATTTTACATGGCAGTAAAGGCATAACGTTGGAATTAACCTACATTCCCAGAACATGTAAGGGAATTTTAAAGATGCAGAGCAGTCGCCAATATTAATGTGCTTTAGATAAGTGCACACACTTTTAGTGTAGGGCAGCTGGGACTCCAAAAAAGTCACTTTAGGAGGTGTGGACTGTAAGAGTCAAACACTACATTTCTGAAGAGGTTTGTAGGTAAGTGCTACATGTGCTCTAGTTTCTCAATCTGGCTGACCCAGAAAGGCATCATGGCAAGGTGTTTAAGGGGAAACTGCTTTGTCGTAGTGAGCACAAAAACATAAACACTGCTGCAAAAGAAAAGCTGCCCTAGAGAGAAGCAGTGATTAGATTCATATTCAGTTCCTTCAACAAGGTGTTTGCCTCCCTACCTTATACTGTTCTTCTGTTAGTGGGTAGGAAAATCTGCAGTAGGAGTTCTTCCATCAATTAGGGCTGTATGGAGAATGTAAACACCAAATGTGAAGTATGGTGAGCTCTTTCACATAGGAGAACTAGATACTGGCCTTCTGTGTTAGAGCTCCCTGACAGTTACCCTCTGTACATTCGCCTGTGCTTTGGTCATGTGTCCATCTTTTTCCAGAACTGTTCCTTTGCGTCCTTTTCCAATTTTCAATTGAGTTGTCTTTTTATTATTAACTCTTAAGAGATCTGTATACTTCACAGAACCAAGTCCCTTACGATATACATGATTTGTAGTTTTCTCTTCTCGTTTTGCAGACTGAAGCCTGACTTCCTTGAAGCGAATTAGGATTGACTGTAGAGACAGCCAATCTGTCTTCATTTTTCTTCTTGTGCTTTTAAGGTCATATCTGTAAGAAATCCAGTGTAATGAATTCCTGTTTTCTTCTTAGAATAGTAGACTGTAATCTCTTCAGTTTGTGCCTTTGACCTACTTTGGATTAAGTTGTACCTATGTATGAATTGTGCATTTAGGTTCTGTATGTGAATTTCCATAGCACCATTGGTTGAATGGTCTGAAAGCTGTGTTGATAAATCCATGGATGTGAATGTGAAGGCCATGCATGTGTTCTGGTTGCTGTAACCAAATATCTGACAAGAAACCAAGCTAGGAAAGGTTTATTTGGTTTGCAGTTCATGGAGAAGGGATGGTGGCACCAGGAGGAGGCGGTTATCTCGTTGCATCCACAATCAGGTGGTGCAGAAAAATTAATGCTAGCACTCAGCTTGTTTCTCCTTCCACTCACTCAGAGACCCCAGCATAGATCAGTCACACCCACATGTAGAATGGGTCTTTACTCTTCAATTATACCTTCCTAGAAAATCCTCATAGACACTCCAAAGGACTGTTCCTACGGCCATTCTAAATCCAGTTAACCTGGCAATTAAGACTAACCATTGCACTTTATATCTAGACTTAATTTTTTTTATTAGAGTCTTTCTGGAAAATTCAGCATAGCCTCAAACTTGTGATCCTCTTGCTTCATCCTCTGGAGAGGAATGCAGTCCCCTGACAAGTGTGCAGGTATGCTCCACCGTACCTGACTATTTCTGAACTCAAATTTGTATTCTGCTGACAGCTCTTTGCTGTTGTTATTACTTTGCTTTGTAGTAAGTTTCAAGCTGGAAAGACAAGTGTCCTTCATCTTTAGTCTACTCTTTCCAGAGAGCTTTGGCTTCTGGGGATTTGTGACAACTCTAGAAACATCTATTTCAACAAATGGAGGAGCCTCCTTTCTTTTTTAAATGATCCTTTTCTTCTTATTAAGTTTTCATGCATGTACACAATAAACCTTGATCGTATGAATCTCAAATGATCTCAGAATCACTGATCACTCTTCATCCCCCCAACTTCATACACTGTTTTTTATGTTTGTTTGTTTGTTTGTTATTTACTTTCTTACTAAATGCCAGAGCAAAGTCTACCTACCAGTAGCCATACCCTTAAAGAAAGCTGCCTCCTTCCCTCAGAATTCATCAGCTGCCCACAGCTTCTAGTAAGGAGGGGTCATGTCAACACCTTCCTGTGCCATGCTAGAATGTCAACTAGTTAGATCTTGTGATGGTGTTATGCAGGCCCCCACAACTGCTGTGAGTTCATGAGAAGGTCCCATCATGTCAAAAGACACCCTTTTTCTTAAGTTCTCCCGATCTTTGGCTGTTATAACCTTTCTGCCCACTCTTCCATGATGGCCCTTAAGCCTTGGGTGATAAAGATGTCCCATTTGTGACCGAGTACTCTCCTGATACTTGTTCTCTGCACTTTGACCAATTATGAGTTTCTGTGTTAACCACTATCCACTACCCAAAGAAACTTAATCTCCTGAGATCTGAGATCTGTACTATTTTACAGGTAGAGAGACAAATTTAGAGGGTTAGCTATATCCATTTAGCAGAATAATAATAGTAGATTCATATTGACCTTGACCAACAGCTACTATGCGTTCACATATAAAACAGCCATGTCAAATGAAGAAGACTTTTCACAGTATTTCTCTCTACCCTACAACTCTTATGCTATTTTTTTGCCCCTTCTTCTGTGATGTCCCCTTGATTTCTGACTCTAAGCATACTGCCTGCGAACTGCAGTGAGGGATACTACCATCTGAAGATATTCTGATTCATGAATTCATCATGTGTCTATGGTTTTTCCAAGCAATCTTCTACAGTTTTCAGTTCGCAACTTCACATCTACTTGTTTGTAAGTATTCCTTCCCTTTGGTAATTGTAGGCATCTGTGAACCTGTAACAGTAACCACAACCCTTTGGATGTGGCTTCAGGCAGACAGAAGCAGAAGGAGGGAAGCTTGAGGTGTGGCTTCTGTTTGTACACTCCTTCTCTTGGGTCAGCCAATCTAGTAGGAAGGTCAGAGAAACACTCCCCTGCTCTTTGTCTTTTTCTGTGTAAGTGTTCCCCAATAAAGAACCATTTATCATTTATCTTGGGTCTAGTGAAATCTTTACACCCACACCTTCTATTGGACCCAACGTGGGGCTCAAACCCACAACCCCAAGATTAACAGTCTCATACTCTTCCAACTGAGCTAGCCAGGTGAGCAAATCTGAGCAGAAAGAAAAAAAAATACTGCACCTCAGGAAGCTTTGGCTGCCTCCCACACATGCGGGTATATCCAAGGCACGCAGAGTATGCAGGGAAGTACTGGCTTTTCCTGGGCCAGGCCGCAGAAACTGTGCCACAGAAACTGTGCGGCAAACTTGGCAGCCAGTGCAAAGTACATAGAAGTCAGCTGAGGTTGACCCTGGGCCATGAAAATCCAGCCAGCTAGATGGCAGCCACACTAGACTACCAGTCCAGCAGTCCAGCCAAGTGGGATGATCTGGGCTGCTCATAGGAATTCACCCACTCACATGGGCACCAATAAATGAAACCATACTCTTAATCATTGATTTTGCAGCTTGTCATGTATGTTTGTTTAATGTATTCCCCAGTCTTTGTAGTTTTGATGCATGTTCTTGGACCTTAAAACTTCCTAAGGCCTCTAATCAATTGATTTCTTTTTTAATTAATTAATTTATTTTTCTTATTTTACATATCGATCCCAGTTCCCCCTCTCTCCCTCACTCCCATCCCCACCACCACCCTCCCATCCCACCCACCCCCCCACTCCACAGGGAGGGTGATGCCTTCCAGGAGAGATGGCAAAATCAGTCAATTGATTTCTTATAAAAAACTCACATGGAAATATGAGCAGCCTCCTCACTAAACTTTGAGGCAGCTACGCTCTATGAAGGAATACAGTAGCATATCGTTGTGCATCTTTTCCTGAGAAGACAAACAGCTCTATTCACTTCAGATAAGGCACCAACAACAGACCAAAGCAATGACTCCACCTAAGTCTGTGTGAGTGAACCATGAATTCAGTGGGGTTATTTAAAGGAATAATGGTAAGAAGTTACTTTCAGGGGCATGGGTAAGCATAGCTGATATATTACTTCTAGGGACAGGGGTGAGCATGGCAAAGGCTTTACTAATAGGTGTTTTGGAAAATGAAGGAACTGCTACACCATTGTTGGTAACTGTTAGCTGTCCACATATATCCTTGGCGAGAGGCAAGCCCTTGTGAGTCCTTCCCCCAATTCATAACTGAACATTAGTGGACCCAGCCTTGTACCAGTCTCCAAGGTAATCACAACATATGCATACTTGTCAAAAGTGGCAGTTTCAGTGGAAATAATATAGTGGATGACAATGTTAATACACCTAGATTTGTGCGGTTTTTCTTTGTGATGTTTATCAATAAGCAACCAGTTGATCAGTTTCAGGGGGCAATAGATAAGCTTATTTTTAATGTTGATTTTGGGGGAAGGAAAATCTAAATATTTCCTTTCTTTCCTGTATTGAATAGGGAAGCCAGATAACCTGTAAGGAAACATCTTTTCTGTAAAATTATTTTAGGTAAATGAAATTGTATGATTGAATATAATTAGACTTTAATTCCACTGCACTTCCAATCTCCCCCTTCAAGGCCATGCCTGCCAGCATCTTAGTAAGAAAGCTGCCAAGAGCCATGTGCACACAGCTCAACACAACCTAGACATTCACCAACAGGATAGAAAACAAAAGCCAGAACACATGCTTGCTGACAGCTCAGGGAGTGAGGAGTTAACCAAAGGATGTAATTCTGTGAGAATTAGGAATGAATTATAGACACTGAGAACATATTGGAGCTACCAGTGACTGAGGATGAGGTGGTAGGCAAAAGATAAAAGGTTTCAGTTTGATCAAGGAAGATGCTCAGGAGATACAGTTTAGTTATAGTTGAGTCCATGTGATATATTGATACATCACTAAGAACACACATTTTAAATTTCCTAACAATGAAATGTGGTGAGTATGTGAAGAGGTCAGTAAATTAGCTTGAGATAGTCACTGCACAGTGAATACATATCAGTGTCCATCATGTTTTTCAACATAAATACATGTGATTTTTTACAATACTGAGGATAGAAACCAGATCCTCACACATGTAGTCAGGGTCTCTGCAATCACTAAGATAAAACTCCAGGATTTTTAACTTTTGATTTTCTTCAAAGATGGGTTCTTAAACTCATGATCCTCCTGACTCAGCTTTCATAGTAGATGGGCAATAGGCATGTACCACCACACTGAGGAAATAGAGTTTTGTTACAAATAAAGATGACAAAGAATTCAGTGAAAGATCACTTGGTTACCTGAATTAGCTTGTAAAAAGTGTGTGTGTGTGTGTGGTACAGGAAGACTTTTGGTACGATTCGTACCCCTGGATTTAAGAAAAATGTCTAGCAGGAAAATATGCACATTTGGCAAAAATTGAGACAGGTCAAGAACTCTTCACACTAAGAAGAATACATCAGCAGATGCATCCCCATCTGCTCACTAACACATGAAAATAAAAATCACAATGTTTTTCTCTGACTACCAAGTTCCAGAGTACATGGGTTGAAGTGATAGCCAGGACTCCAAGAGAAAACGTAGGAAGGAGAGCTATTTCACAGAAAACAAACAATGTTACTAAGGATGTGTTACCAAAACACACCCCATAAAAACACCAAAACAACAAATCTCTATTTCCACCAAAAGCAATGGTACAGTGTATGACAGTATCTGCAGTTACTGGAGAAAATTGGGGCCAGCCCCACAGATGGACCGCATAAATAATAAATATGAAATCTCCCAGTTTTAAACAGTGTAGACTGGTGAGATATTCAGAACCTCTGAAGCATTCTCACTTGCTAGAAGCTTGGTGATAATTATCTCTATCCTTACAAGTTTAAATAAGTAGGAAATTATTTAAATTTAGTTAAAAAATAGAAACATATGTTAAGATATTCACCCTGCAATTTACACTTACTTAAACTACCCATCTAACAAAGCAAAATTTGGAGTGTATGGCTATATTTGTACAGAAACTTTAGTTGCTTAAAAACTCAGTTTATTACCTGCCTTCCCTGCACTGAGCCCATGCAAGTCCTTGTTCAGTTCTAATCAACGCCATCACATACATCCTTTAACTTTATCTCCTATTCCTGGTAGAGAATCCCCAACCTGCCTGACTGACTGCATTTACTCAATTATAGCAATTAACCTGGGAAAACTGAATCTTAAAGCACCATTTCCCACTGCCCCAGCCATTGCACTGCCACAGAAATCCATGCTAGACCATGTTAAAATTCAAGGTTCCTCTGATATTAACAAGTGTTAACAGAACAGGGTGGTTTTTCCATGCTGATGCAAAATGCAAAGGAAAAGTTATATATATGACTGTGATTACCCTTTCCTCCTGGCTGTCTTCTGGATTACTATTCATGCAGAAATTTTCAAGTAAGCTTAGTTTTTGTGTCTATTATCAAATCCAGCCACATGGGATGCTTACTTAAAACCAGTTACATAGGGACTAAAGTTTACATCTATATTATTAAAGCCATGCATCCCGGTCCTTGTGGGAAAAATGATGCAGTGGAGGGAGGGATGCAGGAAAAAAAATGCATCAGTAAAGCTGATTAAACACAATAGTAGCAAGCTACTTAGTCTGGAGCTCTAAGGAATCCTGGATGTGGGAGAAATAAGGAAGCTTGGTAAAATAGAGGTTCCTCTTTGTGCATATCAAGGTCAGAGTGTGGATTATCACTGCTGGCAATTTTGTTGCCCTGTAGTTTGTGACAAAAGGTGATGTCTGCTAATAGTAGAGGCACTACAAACACACCCGCATGGCCTTTGTGAACTGAAACTTCAATGCATGATCCTAGCACAACATAAGAGATGTGCTTTGGAAGTGAAGTGAATCTCTTGACAGTTCGGATGCTGCTTTCCTTGCTCCCCTTTTCTAGCTTGTGATAGAGGAAATGTTGGGTGGGAGCAATCTGCTGCACAGATAGATGGTGATGGTGAACTGGTTTGGCCAACAATTTTACTTTCCAGACTGCTAGGTTTTCATTCATAAGAAAAGAGAAGGCAGACAATAAAAGGGGGGGGAGAAGAGAAAGAACGAAAGAATGAAAAAGAAAGGAAGAAAGAGAAATGAATGGATGAAAAATAATATACAAATGGAGAATACCATCAAATAATGTTCATTGTATCCATTCTCTCCATCTAGAACCAGAACTCCTCATCAGCATAGCCTCCTAGTGTGCAAAATTTCAAAACAGAAAACAAAATGATGGAAAAGAGGCGGGGCTTGGGAAGACTCATAGGTTTTCTAATATCAGTGACAGAAATATGTAAGGATTGTAGTTTGCTGTTGGAGTAAGAACACTTGCCTTGTTTGGTCAGGATGATTCTGCTTGGCTATATTGCTTCCCTTCACAGTGATGGGGCATAAAGTTCCATGGTGAAGACAGAACTCGGCAACTGGACAGTCCTAGACAGAAAGCCTCAACAATCTTCACTCCCTTCCTTCCTTCCTTCCTTCCTTCTTTCCTTCCTTCCTTCTTTCCTTCCTTCCTTCCTTCCTTCCACCAGGTTGTGGCTTGAATTCTACCACCCTCAAAAAGTAAACTCTTTGTTTCTTACACTTGATCAAGACTAATGTCTTTCCTATCTTAGCAAACCCAGCAGGGACCAGCACACACCACTGCAATAAAACCTACTGTGTCTTGTGTGAATGTCACTATCCCCTCAGTGTTACTGTGGTTCCCGCCTTCAGGAGATGCTGTCTCTCTTTGTGGCAACTGACTCTGTCTCACAAAGGAAGAGATCCCCTACATAAAAGGGATTAATCCCTTATTGAATGTTAATAAGGTGCAGGGGCGTGGCCCCGGGAACACAATGATGGAAATCTTCCCTTATATTACTTGAAAGGTCTATTTTCTTGACTACTGTGTTGTTTTTAGTTCCAGCTAAGGTAGTAATTTGTCTTTTGGAACAGTTAATAAGTGTTTGCATTCCTAGAACCAGTGGAGTCCATGGGTTCCCATTCAGAGTTCATGGCCTCAAAGATGTGATTGTACAGTGTAAGTTATATGTCAAAAATGTGGCTCTGAAGAAATGGGAAATTTTTATTTTGAAAGCTAGAAATCCATTTATTCTGAATTATGGTGTTTACCCTGTAGCAAAT